AAATTCCCTCTTTCCTAGAAGTGAAAATTTCCCCATTTCACTGCTAACTATGTTTATGCCTACACATGATGTGGAAGTATTTGGACAACGACTAAAGCCAGGGCCAAATCCTGCTTTCATCTGCAAACCGAGCTGCTCTCCAAAGAGTTGCCCATCAAAACTCCCAGGGTGATGTGCAGTGGTGGGGAAAACGTTGGACCAGAGAGTTGCTTCCAGCCTTTCCAACCAGGTCCTGATTATTTACAGCTGTTCCCAGATGTTGCCCTTTCACGGGCTATTTGTTCGGCCTCCCTGTTCACACGCTAGGCGAGCTCAGGGGAAGAAAGAGAGGCTCCTTTCTCCCTTTTACTATGGAAACAGCCCTTTATCCCAAGCGTTGCAAATGCTCGGCCGCTGTTTCCCTCCCACCGTTGCCCTGGCTCCAGCCACCCCACCGGCCACCCACTGCTCACGTCTCATCCCACCTCCCGTTTGTCCCCTCAACAGGTCACAGCCAACTCATCTGGCACAGACCCCCAGAAAGAAGCCGGACTGCTGAGCACCTTCTGTCCAACCAGCCATCAGAAACTCCCCCCGCTCACAAATCACCCCCTTCTCTCTCCTTTTGTTACCGCTTCTCCCCATTCTCCGACTCTTCAGGCTTTTTTTCTCTCTGCAATCCAGGCGGGAGCCGGATCAATCGCCCGCTGTCGCATCCCAACCAACACACTCCAAAGTCCAAAATAAAAAAAAGGAAAAGTCAAAGAAATCTCCCCCCCCACACACCCCCGCCCCCCCATGGTGCTAACTTTTAGGGCAGGCAGGAAAGAGCAGGCAGAGATGCATTTCACCGGGCAGGAGCATCTTTAAGAGTTAGGAGAGAGAGGACGTAACTTACCTCACCGGGACGCACATGGAGGGGTTATTTTTGCTTTCTGCTGCACTTGGGTTGCTGTGTCCTTTGCTTGTGACACTCCAGGACCTGAATGGTGGCACCGCTGTGTGACACCCGGTATTAGAGAGGCTGCTGGAGCTGTCCCTCCCACGGTAGGAGGGGCCACGTAGGGCTTAATAAATTCAGTTCCCAAGGCTGGAAAAATTAAAATCTCATCATGGGACATGAGCAGCTGCTCACCGCATGGCTCTGGGAGACGCCAGGAACTTGCAGGTGAACCTGGGTTTGATTCATTCCTCGTCCACACAGAACCGGAGAGGCTGGTATTCAAATCCTGCCTGGGCAGAATTAGGTATCCAAAGGATGGGATCCAAGGAAATATCCCAAAGGAAATTTGGGCAAGATGTGTCATCGCTGACCCTCAGAATTAAAACTCCCGAACCTCCTCCATGAAAATGTTTCCTGTGGCTGTAAGACCCAGGTGGGAATCCACTGCACTAGATTTCTGAGAAACCCTGGATGCAAAACCTGCTTATTTTGCTTATTTTTTTGCACAGTTTTGGGCTTTAACATCTAAATCCTATTAGAGACATAACTTCCTTTGGAGGGGGAGAGGGGGCAGGTCAGCACAACAAAAGCAGTTTGTGCGGTTGTATTTTGTAACCTCCAACATGCCCTGGACTTTCAGAGAGGCATCCATAAAGTTTCTCAGGCTAGGAAAGTGCGCAACCTCATAGAGCTCCTCCTGCTCCTAAAAAGCTCTTGGCTGCACAAGAAGCTAAATAAACATCCTCTGCAGCCCCGGAGGCACCACTGGTGCAGCTTTTTTACCCCTGTCATCTCTCACACTGGGATTTTTCTTGTTGAATGAAAAGACAGATCAGAGGGTCCCTCAAAAGCAAAATCAGCAAACTGCCCTTGCAAATAGAGAGGGGAAGAACAGGGCAGAAATGATGGCCCAGAAGTTTTTGGGCAGCTCACATTACAAAGAGAAACTTTTAATTAGAAGATGAGCTACAGAGATGACAGCCTGGTTCACTCTGAAACCTAATGATGACCAGAAGGCATATAAGAGTTCCACTTTAAAAGCAGTATTGCTAATCCTTACTTAGCACCAGGTCCTAAAATACCATCATCTCTCTTTGGAATTAGAATATTAAATAAATGAGGGAACCGCCAGGTATGAAGGTAGAAGCAGTTGTTTTTATTGCTGATTGTCTTCCAGCTAATGCTCTGCTGGCTGGAGTAAAGGGACATGGGATTATGTGTGAGCCTCTAGAAATATTACTTGCTTTATGGTCTGATTCCTGGAAATGTGATAAACGTGGCAGGAAAGGGTGAGATTAAGAAGGCTGGTGGCACTGATGAGATGTAGGGAGCAGCAGCAGCAGCTTTTCCAGGTACCTTACAGTTTTGATTTCCCAAGTTGATCCACTGGATTTTTGTCCATATATATTTGTGGCCGTGTTGAGCCCAGCTTCATCACGGGGCCACGCTGAGGTCCTGATGGTCCATGCCCAGGGGAGGCATGGCATTGGGGGTGGCCAGGCAGGTTTGAGGAGTAGTGGAGAGCCCACAAAGCCTGAGAGCTTTGCTCTGCGTTTGAAGTCAGCAGCAAGGTCAGAGCTCCCTGAAATACCTTCTGAAGGGGTTTCACCATCATCCTTGCCCGGGCTGCCTTTCTTCCAGCTGCTGCATCCTCATGGTGCGGATGGACTCCGAAGGGTACGTGGGGGATCAGGGGACACGTTTGAGCAACATCGTCAGTGCAAAAAAAGATCCCTGCAGTGGAGGGAAGAGCCCTGAAAGATGAAAAAGGTCATTTAACACACAACCATAGCACCACCTCCTAACAAGCAAAGAAACCCCCAAGTATCTCTGTTCTCTGCCCTAAAATAACACTGTGGTTTTGCTTTCTTCTTGATACAGAGATGCAAAGTCTTCAGTGCTGTGGTTTACTCTGCAAACACCTGGCAAAGGACTCACCGGCCGAGCAGAGGCTGCTCTGGCTTCGGTATCTTCATCTCAGAGTTCATCAGCTTATGTCAACAGCAAATTCCTCACCCGGTGTCCCAGTCGGTGTCCTAGCCCTGCCGGGAGCTGGCAACGAAGGCAAGCGAGGATCTGCTGGAGCCCTGCCACCGGCGAGCCCAGCCTTGGAGTTTATGAGCCCATAAAGAAAATGCCTGCAAGGGACTGGTGCGGTACAAACCCGCCCCGAGGACATCAGCAGGGCAGGTCAGCCTTGAACCCTGCTGAGTTTTGACTCTGTTTGTGTCATGAGAAGATAAAAACAGGGTGAAAATGGCACAAACAGGGAGCAGGGATGGTCTCCCTGCCCAGCTGCTGGCCACAGTGTGGAGTATTTTGTTGGGAAATACATATCTTCATGTCCTCCCACCCTACGTCCTACCCTGTTGGGGACTTTTGTCCTCTTGCAATGTTCTGCCTTGGCAGCAGGAAGGGGCCGGGGTGTGTGTGTGTGTGTGTCCCTCCCCGGGCTGGGCTTGGGTATCCACCACCGAACAGTTGCACAACAAGCTGCTGCCGAGCCTTGGCAGCAGGTGACTCATGCAGGTAACGATGGCCCCGCGAGATTAATTACAGAAATAGCACCGTTTATGGCTTTAGTGTTTCCAAGAATAATAAGGGAGGCGGGGGGAGAAGGAGGAGGTGATCCGAACTGATCCAAACTTCAGCCCTCGCTCTCCCAGGGGACAGCAGTGTGCTGGCACAGACCCCACGGCCACGGGTGAGCAGCGTCTGCCTTTTGGAGATGAAAAGCAGAGCATCGGTTGGTGGAGGCACAGAGGATGGGCTGGGGGGAGGAAAGGACCTTGGGTGGCTCCAAGCTCCATCATTAGAGAGCAGAGATGACATCAGACCTGCAATGTGAGGCATGTCCAAGTATAAAGATGCTGCCAGCCAGCTTCATGCTGAGCCCTGGGGGACGAGGCTGCAGTGGGGTCTCTCTCCCCATCTCCCAGTCTGAAGCCTTTGACACATGGCTCTGAAACATCAAAAATCAGGGAGAGCATCAGCCTCCCGAAGCGTCAGTGCAGGAAAACTCAGGGCACAGTGGAAGCACCACGCAAATGGGGAGCAGCAGCTTTTGCATGGTGCTGGCAAGCCTACAGGGAAGCCAGGGTGTGACCCTGCTCCTGCATCCTCGGATATCTCCACCATCATTTCTCAGGCTGCTTGGATTGATCAGTTATTTTTAAGCCCACTTGCTCCCAAGAAATGCTGCTGTCCCTTCCCAAGTGACAGCAGTGGCTGTGAATAATGGTACAAAGCCCGTCGAGATGTGCCAAAGCCCTGGCAGTTTCTTCTGGAGTGTGCAACCCAGCAGGTGCAAAACTTACCCCAAGTGCCAGAATTTAAACTGAAAAAAATCAACTCAGGCAAGCAAAGTTGCTAGGCAGCTACTGCTGAGTCCTGGGGCTCAGAGAGGGACTCTGAGCGTCATTTGGGAGTGAGCCGCATCCCTCGGGCAGGGAACGGGGAGGGACCAGATGGATTCACCGTGCAGCCCAACCACGGGGAACCAGCCCCCCGGCACAAAGAGAAGCCACGCTGTGTGGATGGAGGGCGGCCATGGGAGCTTTCACGTCACCCTTCAAAGTGGCCGGCAGCGACAAACTCTCTGCCTCTCGCAGCTGTTGCTGCAGCAACTCCGCTGCCTGCTGGCTGCTGGCGCCATGGACCGGCTGATACAGCGTTGTGTAAAGATGGGGAGAGACAGTCCTCACCCTTCTTCTATATTTTATAACCGTCCTTTATGAAATGGCATCGTCTTGTTCTTTCCTGGCAGAAGTCAGGGGATTGCAACGTGCCCAGGAGGATGCAACTTTATTTACCCCGAATGGGCCAAGAGAGTGTCAGAGGGGAAAAGCAGATGCAAGGACCAGTGAGGAAGAAGAGGGCCCAATAAACCATCCCTTGGCCAAATGTTTCTGTGCCCAAGCAATGTAATGTGGTAAATGGTGTGGGGGGACCATGACAGATGTCAGGAGTGAAGCACGTCAGGGTTTTGTTTCGTGAGTGCATGGGCAGCTGCTCTGTGCTGCCTCCTCCTGCCTTACAGAATCCCAGACTGGTTTGGGTTGGAAGGGACCTCAAAGCCCATCTAGTTCCAACCCCCTGCCCTGGGCAGGGACACCCTCCACGAG